AGGGGTCACCTAAGACCATCGGAAAACACATATATAATTATATATTGTTTTTGTGATTAACCACTATGCTTTAATTATGTTCAATTTGTAACAATGAAATTGGGGGTCACCACAACATGAGGAACTGTATTAAAGGGTTGTGGCATTAGGAAGGTTAGGAACCACTGCATTAGATGTACAGGATTTTACATGGAAAGAATGCAGTCTGCAGGGAAGAGGTGAAAGGAGAGAGAGACAGAGAGAGAGAGAGAGAGAGAGAGAGAGAGAGAGAGAGAGAGAGAGGTGGTAGAAAGAGATTATAAAGGGTGTAGGGACAGGAGGTGTGGAAAAGATTTTAAAAAATCCACTGCTCAGTGTCCCATGGGGCTCCTCCAACCCTGGACCCTGACGCGGTGGGTACAGCATCTGAGGACCCTGACCGCTGCAGGGCTAAGCGCAGAGATGCCCAGTGTATCAGCACTTCCATGATGTTTAAATATTTTCAGTGGGTGTACCAGGTGACACCTAGTTGTTTATTAGTAACGTGAAAACCAAGCTTTAATATAAGCATCCCTGTGGGTGTATTTTATAGATCAAATTAGAACATACAAAGCATGTCAAAATTTAAAATATTTATGTTTAAGTGTGTTTTTCCAGAAAACATTTATTTATTATAATCAAGACGGTCTCCTTTCCTTCTGACCAGATAAACTAGACCGGGCGCTGTGGTCAGATTCATTCCCAAGATGGATGGGGCATTATGCGCGTCTACAGGGTACAGGGCTGATGAGGGTCCCGCGGGGGCCAACGGAAACCTCCATCGCGTCACCTCCCAAATGTTAGATGAATCCAGGGCATGAAGCACCTGGGTGTTTGTAAAAAGCAATCCATGGTTTTGCCCCCAATGCTGCTATTTCCCGCAAATGAGCCAGGTCCTTCAACAAAGTAAGCACACACTGCTCCCGGCAAGGTGTCTTTTTCTTTCCGTAGCACATCCCAGACCCACAGAAGTTGGCCCCGAAGCACAGGAGAGGGGAGGCGACATAAAGCAAGCCCAGCGTGTCTGTGAGAGGCAGGGAGTGAGGGCTGCTGCACACACACAACCTTCCGGAGCCCAGGCCAAAGCATTGGACTTCGCAGTGTGCTTCTGGGGGTGGGTGGAGGCCACCCACATGTGTTCTAAGCTCTCGGGTCAGAGGTCCCTAAAGTGCTTTTTCAAAGGTCCTCTCCAAAACACATCAAAACAGCCCAGCAGCCACTCACACAGAACCCGTTACTCAGGAGCCCTGTTCAAAGGGCGCCTGGGCCGTCTTAGGAGGCTTGATGGCGCTCTGTCCGTTCTCCTCGGCCGTAAGTGCATTCCACACGGCTGCTGCTCCTTTCTCCTTAACACACAAATCACCGACGCCAGTGCCCAGCCCAGTGCAGGGAAGTCACCGCTGGTCACGGTGGCTGCGGAAAGAGTTCTCCATGGCAAGGGTGGCAGGGCTGGGTCCAGGTAGGGGAGAGAGCTCCCCGCCATGGACCACACTGCGGGCTGTGACCCTGGAGCCCTCTCAGGACTAACAGGCAATGACCCCACATGCCCTCTACCACCACCAGGGGTGCTGCCTGTCTGTCACGCAGACGCCTGCTGGGGAGCACTTGGGGAGGACACCTGGGATAAAGTAAGATTTCACGGGCTAAGGGTGAAGGTGAGGAGCGGGAAGGCCGGGGAGGGAGGGCAGGCTGGCTATTTTTTGGAGGCAACTTTGCCCGCCGCTTTACACAGAATACTCAGTGATTTACACTCTCTGCCTGTGAATAAGCCCAGAAGCCCCAAAACGCTCTCGATATTAAATTAACTGCTCTAATTTCCCTGGGCAGCTCGGATTTCGGCAAACAATGTGAGAGCTAAAATGATGCCGCAGTCCATTTAGAAAGGGATCCTCAGACAAGAGCTAAAGGCAGACTCCCCGAGAGGAGCTTCCCGGCTACTGTATTTTTATTCTCTGAGAATATAAACAAGTCAGAAAGGAAAGCCAGCGTGAGCAAGGACTCAAAATAAACTCCACACACAGCGGACAGGGAGACAGCGCTTCAGTAAGAATTCCCTTTCATACACGCACCGCTACCAAGATGCCTCTCTTTGTATCACAGTTTCAAATTCCATAACTGAGGCAGCACAGGCCTATCTAAATCCTTACAAAGGGTTTTAGAAACCCGATTACAAGATTCAGAGCAATCCGCCCATCTCTAAACCTCTACCACAAGAGAAGAAAGAAAGAAAAAGAAAGAAAGAAAGAAAGAAAGGAAGAAAGAAAGAAAATTGCAGGGTTTCAATGACGTATTTGCGGTCCCATGAGAAATACCTTGAAAACAGAAATCTCTATGAACGGGCTTTGAAGATCTGAAAAAACGTAGAATTCCAAGCTCGTTATCTACGTGCAAGGTGTACCTCCCGGAGCACGTCCATCCAAACGCTTGCTTCTCATCCAGACGCTCTGGGTCCCCGAGCATCTTGGGCCGTGGATGGTTAACCTTCCCAAGCCCCGGCAGCCTTTCTCTCTGGGACGGCAGCTAGAGCCGCTGCGGCCCTTTCATGCTAACTCAGAGAAGTAGCTAAGGTTCAGCACCCTTTGGAGTTAAAAGGTTTGCTTATTTCTGAGCAAAACTACACAAAAATGCACAAAATAAGTGGGAGGACTTCTGCAATGAAATTCACAAGGGAAACCTTACTGGAAATTG